CAATGGTGGTGGCGCATGTCTTTAATCCCAGCACTAGGGAGGCAGAGGCAGGCGGATCTCTTAGTTTAAGGCCAGTCAGGGGCTACAGAAAGAGTTCCCCCGACAACCAGGGTTACACAGAGAAACCCTTATCTTGAAGACAACAAACAGAGAACAGAACCTTAAAAGCAGAGGTGGTGGCAGAGATCTGTAACCTCCAGCACTTGGGTGTCTGAGGCAGGAGGATCACAGTTGGTGGCCAGCTTGGGTTACCATAGGAAGTTCCAGGCCAGCCTCAGCCACATAGAAAGCTTTTGTCTAAAGAAAGAAAAACAACAACCTACAAGCAGCTAGGAACCTGGCCTGGTGTTCCACACCTTTTGAATTCCAACACTCAGGAGGCAGAGGCCAGGGATCTCTATGAGTTAAAGATCTATGCTTGTTCTACATGGCAAGTTCTAGGCCAGCCAGGGCTACAAAATGTTACTCTGCCTCAAAACAACGATAACAAAAACAAACAGCAGCAACAAAAGCCAAGTGTGATATTTTAGACTTCTAATCTCAGCTCTTGGGAGGGAGACTGAACTGGAAGATCTGGACAAAACAAAATAAATCCATAGACTTACCTTGAAAGTTGTAGCTGTGTGACCCACGACAAGTAGCTTTCCATTTCTGAATCTCACATTTTTCACCTGTAAAGTGAGACATGATTGTTGAGGTGAAGGGATATAACCCTTGTAAACTGCTTAGCAGTGTTTAGTAAGTTCATAGTAAACATTAGTAGGAAACTGTCATTAACGTGAGCTTCTAGGTCAATGGTTCTCAACCAGTGGGTCGTAATCCCTTCAGGAGGTCAAATGACCCTTTCACAGGGGTTGCCAAAGACCATTGGAAAACATAGGTATTTACATTACTATTCATAACAGTTATGGAGTAGCAGTGAAAAGAAGCCCATGGTGGGTGGTCACCACCTGAGGAACTGTGCGAAGGTCCTTCATCCCCCTGTCTCTGCAGATTCACCCTCTACATCACCCTATTTTGGTGTCCCTCTTCCGTCACTCAATCCCATCACATTTCTGGGCTTTTCCTTCGCTTTAGCATTCCTTTCCTCTCTATTGGCAAATTTAAAATCGTATAGGACAATGAAGTGTTCCCAAACACCCATTCTTCTCTTTCTAGACACAGCTTCCTTACATAATCATGGAAAGGATGTCTCCTAGAGCCTCTGAAATAGTTCCAAATTCAAATAGTCTGTGTTGTCAAGACTGGGTCAACTTTTGTTCTCATTGTTCGTTCTGAAAATACAGTTCTGAAATATAGCACTCTTACACTTCTATGCTAATACTTATTTATTTATTCCAGTGACTTATTGTCCTGTCCCCATTTGTTTGTGATCTTTTGATTTCTTTGTTTTGTTGTTGTTTTTGAAACAGGGTATCACTGTGTAGTTCCGGCTGTCCTAGAACTCTCTCTGCTGGCTTCAAACTGACAGAGGTCTGCCTGCCTCTGTGCTGGAGTTAAAGGTGTGCACCACAAAAACTGACTTGTTTTGTTTTCTTAATATAGGGTCTCATGTAACTCCAGCTGCCCTCCAAATCCCCTTACAGCTGAGGCAGGCCTTTAAACGCCTGATCATTCTGCTTCCATCTCCTAACTGCTGGAACTGTAGGGTGTGTGATACCATTCTTGATTTTTGTTTTGTTTTGGTTTTTCAAGACAGGCTTTCTCTGTGTAGCCCTGGCTGTCCTGGAACTCGCTCTGTAGACCAGGCTGGCCTCGAACTCAAAGATACAACATCTGCCTCTGCCTCAGGAGTACTGAAATTAAAGGCATGTACCACCACTGTCTGGCCCGTTCTTGACTTTTTTTTTAAAAAAGAATATATTTAAATTTTTTATTACATTTTTTAAAACTGTGTGTTTGTATTCATGTGTGAGAGCACATGCCCCTGTACCGGTGTGGAGGTCAGAAAACAATTTGCAGGAATTGGCTCTCCCCTTTTGCTATGTGGAACCTGGGGCTCAAAGTCAGGTCATTAGGCTTGATGGCAAGCATCCCTACCCACTGAGTTTTGTTTTTTTGAGATAGGGTCTCATTGTGTAATCCAACCTAGCTTACAACTCAATAGTAACCCAGTCAGTCTTGAACTGGTCTGCCTTGGTCTTTTGATTGTTTCATGCTATGTTGAAAAGAGATTTTTTTTCCTTTTTGCTGTTTTTTCCCCTCTTCATTGCTGGGAATTGAACCCAAGGCCTCAGGAATACTGAGGAAGCACTCAACTACTGAGGTACATTCTAAGTGAGGATAAGGGTTGTATCTGTTCTATACTAGGAATTCTGAGTGCCTGGGATAAAGCCGGGGCTAGGTAATTAATGAAAGACTAAATAAATAAATAAGGTACTCATTCTTTTACTGTTTTTTTTTTTCCAGTGCCAGTGATTAAATTCAGGGTCTTGGACAAGACAGGCAAGCTCTCTGCCACTGAATTACATCCCTAGCACGTTGATAAAGCACGTTCACATGCACTTAATTACACTTAGTTCACATGCCACTGAATTACATCCCTAGCACGTTGATAAAGCACGTTCACATGCACTTAAGACTGAATGCGGCCGGGCGGTGGTGGCACACACCTGTAATCCCAGCACTCAGGAGGCAAAGGCAGGTGGATCTCTGTGAGTTCGAGGCCAGCCTGGTCTACAGAGCTAGTCCATGACAGGCTCCCAAAGCTACCGAGAAACCCTGTCTCGAAAAACCAAAAAAAAAAAAAAAAAGACTGAATGGGTGGCCCTGCTTTGAGGTCACTGGATTGCCTGTCTCCTGAAAGTATGTATTGGTGAACTCCCTTTTTCCATTTCCTCAGGAGCACTGAGCCTACGCATTCTGCTCTGCCTTGCTTCCACACCTTGCCACATCACCCCAGTTCTGCTATGCCAGGAATGTTACTAGGGAAGAGTATAGCCATGATTCAGCGGACACCTCAGGGATTGAGTAGGAGCTTGGGCAGAGAGATTTAGGGATTAAAAATGCTTCTTAAACATTCCTAGCTCTCCTTTTTGTAAGATAAAGACATGCTATTTTGCCTATTGCCTAGGCTGTTCTGGAAATCAAGATTTTTCTCCTTTAACTTTTTGAGTAGCTAGGACCTCAGTCATGTACCACCACACCCAAATTTTTAAACAATAATTATATTATTGTTATTACTATTTAAGACAAGGTCTCAACATGTAACTCTGGCTGTCCTGGAACTGGCTTTGTAGACCAGGCTGGCCTTCAACTCACAGAGATTAGCCTGCCTCTGCCTCCTAGTGCTGGGATTAAAAGGCTTGCATGACCACTGCCCTGCTGGATCAATTCCCTTATCCCACCTTATTGACCCAGGGATAGACCTTGGGTCATCAGGCTTGGTACTTTTATCTGATGAGACATCTTGACAGTCCCCAGGCACCTGAAAGCTTTTTTTTGAAATATGGACAATTTACTCAACAGTATTTACTGAGTACCCGTGAGACAGATTCTATGCCTCACAGTGTCTAATTCAGAATTAGCACTCTGCTATTCAGCTGGGTGAAGGTTTTAGGTATAGCATAAACATACAATGCTTCCGTGGGTACCTACTCACAGTGCTGTTTGTCTACTTTCAGTACCCAAGGGAGCACAAAGAATCCAGCAGATGGCAGTAAGGAAACAAATATTTTAGGTCTTGAAGGAAGAGGAAGAAATCTGAGGTTAATGAATGGGAGATGTTTGATTCTGGTCCTGGTTACCCTTCGGATAAACATCTAGGTAGGTATCCAGGCCACCTTAGGGCCAATAATCTGAGGGTTGTTTTTCCATGCCTTTTTAAAATTCATTTCTCAAACAGTTATTGAGTGCCTTCCTTGTACAAAGACGTGACAGGAGATGGACATACAAGAATGAAGCAGTCTTTGCTCTTCGGAAGCTCGGTTTGTTTGAAAGGTCTTCACTAGGGCCCCCACAATGTTCACAGACACCACAGTTCTTTGCTAAACCTGGGCAGAGTTCATACGAAGATTAGGCTAGAATGGAATTCCTCTGTTTTCCGTGCCCTTTGGAGTATAAATAATTAGCAGCTGAACACTCAGGAGGACTTTGGATCGGAGGAAGATTGTGTGATGCAGTCTGATCGAGTTCTGTAGTCGTTTTCACCGGTCTTTTAAACTTTGTTTTTTATGTATTTTTCTTACTTTTCTTGTTGTTATATTGCTGACAAATCCCCATTGACTTATTCATCTAACATTTACATTTCCTGAACTCTGTCACTGTGTCTAGCATTGTTTGAAGCAAACCGAACAGATCTCATGTCCTGAGAAGGAAGGTCCCACACGCCCGCACCGTAAACAGTAAAGGCTGGTGGTTGCGATGTTTTGTAGTACACAAGTGCTTAGCATCTCGGACTTGACACCAGGGCCGCGTCCTGGGTTCTTTCCAGGGCTGTCATTGGAAGCGCCCAGTCCTCCCCAGTCCAGCTGATTCTCAACCAGAAGTCCCAGCAAGCGGAACGCCACACGGTCAAAGATACGAACGCTTATTGGCCTACCGAGCCACCGTAGGCACACGGTCTTCCGCCGGTGGAGTCCTCGGGGGTGTGACGTGAGCTTGTCACGTGGCCCGCGGCCACCTCCGGATTGGCTCTGTTTCTCTCGGGATGGATGGGATGCAGCCGTGAGAAGGTGGGGCGCAGGCGCAGTGCTGGGATTTCCTTGGCCGCCCACCCTGAGCGGAGCGGTGGAGTTGGCGATAAACAGGCTGTGGCTGGGGCCGAGGGGGAGGGGGGGCGCCGGCTTTCCGGAGGACTTCTGCTGCCGGCCTTTTCCTTTAGGGGTGTTCGAGCGGGGCCGCGGGGCCGCCGGCAGCCGGCCTGAGTGTCGCTGTCTTGGGAGAGGAGGGAGCTTTTGCGGGGAGCAGTTAGGTTGCTAGGAGGGTGAGCGACGGGAGCTCTCCCCCATGCCGGGCAAGTGGTGCGGCCCTGAGCTGGTCCTGGAGCCGGAACGACGCCTGTGAGAAGCCCGCAGAACGCGGGGTTCTGTGAAGAGACGTGGGGAAGATTCGATTCCGAGAAAAGGAAGAGCCGACTTGAAAGGGAGCGAGGCCGCTGACGGGGAGGGGGGCTGCCAAGATGGCGTCCGCCTCCTCTGGGCCAGCGGCGGCCGGGTTTTCATCCCTTGATCCCGGGGGTCCCTGCCGGTACCTCAGGTGAGCCGGGTGGGGCGCGGGCAGCCGGCTGGGGAAGACTGGGAGATGGGAACAGGAGCGAGTCCTGGGAAGGGACCTGTCGCTGGGGGGTGTCCGAGTGGTTGCCCCTAACAGGCTGGACTCGGAAGTAGTGGACAATTTTGAGCGATCTAGAGGAGTTTTGGGGGAAAGGATGGGCGTCACGAGAGAAGAGAAGCCGACAGACACACTCCCACTGTGTCCTAGAGGCCATTGAGAACTTGGAGGAGGAGGAGGAGGGAGGAGGAGAGGAGGAGGAGGAGGAGGAGGAGGAGGGATGGAGAGAAGAGGGGAAACGATGAGAACAGGAGCGGAGAAAACCAAGTCAGTGAGGCTGGCGGCACAGCTTAGTGGTGGAGGTCTTGTCCAGCATGCACCAGACCCTGGCTTCAACCCCCCAGGATCTTAATTCAGAAATACTAACGTCAATGGAGTATGGGTAGAGAGAGGGGGAATTTTATTGGTGTGAGATAGAGGCTAAATTGATCGTGGAATTAATAGATCAAAACGTTGAGATTATGGGACCTAAAAGTGTTGAAGAGTCATGGGGGTGCTTTTGACTGCTGAGGAATTAGGGAATTGTGAGTGTTATTGGGAGTAAGAGTTAGTGGAGTGGCCTTTCCCCTCAGACTACCCCTATGCGGCACTCCCCCTCGCCTCAAGCCTTGTCCGCAGCAGCGCAGACACACATATTTCCTCAAATTAACTCTTTTGGTGATTCCTAGCCTTGGAAAGGAATGGGGAGTTTTTGTTTTGTATTTTGAGACAGGCACTTCCTCTGTCTTCCTGACTGGCTTGAGATCCCTAATGCTGGGATTACAGGAGTGTACCACAGCCAGCACAGAAGAAAAACTTGGAAGTGGCTAAAATTTGGGGGGTTGTTGTTGGTGGTGGTGGTGGTAAAGGTCAGAAGACCCTAAAGCGGGGAGGAGAAATGAAATGGAGGCTTGAATTGTAGAAGAGCCCTAGTTAGGCCTGTAGTTAGGGCCTCAGAAAGAAAGATGGGGGAGGGGGTGTGTGTGACTCCTGGTGCTGTGAGGGAATATTGCATAATCGGATATGGACTGGAGGAATGCTTACGATGATGTATGAAGAAATTACAAGGGAACTGGGCAGTGTAGAGAGGTCAGGGTCGTTAGAGATTGATGGAGATTGGGGGCTGAAAAGGCCCACAAAGAAAAGCCACAGATTGTGTGTAGGAGGGAAGCTGTGTATGGGAGGAGAATCAGAAGCTGTTCCAGAGGCTCTGTCAGGAGTGCCAGTGTTCCTCAGTAACTGTTGCCTGAGAAGCTGGGTATTAGATGCTTTTCTTGAGAGTTGATTTTTTCTTAGGCTGGGATTTTCCCCTTACCATTTTGAATGGGCTTGAGTTCCACCTTAAACATTCCAGCTTAGACAGAGGAAACATAGTCATAGATACCCTCTTCATAAGCTGAAATTTTATTTATGCGCCTCTATTTTTAGTTTCTTGGAGAGGTGGCTTTTGCCTTTCCTCTAAAAGCATTAGAGAGCCATAACAATTCTTTTTTTGGTTTTTTCGAGACAGGGTTTCTCTGTGTAGCTTTGCACCTTTCTTGGAACTCACTTGGTAGCCCAGGCTGGCCTCGAACTCACAGAGATCCGCCTGGCTCTGCCTCCTGAGTCCTGGGATTAAAGGCATGCGCCACCACCGCCCAGCTTTTGTTCTTTTTTCTGACAGTGTTTCTCTGTATAACAGCACTAGCTCTCCTGGAACTCACTCTGTAGACCAGGCTTGGGTTGAACTCAGAGATCCACCTGCCTCTGCCTCCTGAGCTCTGGGGTTAAAGATGTGCACCACCACCACCTGGCTTAGTTGATTATTTTTCTGTTGTATGTATGTGCATAATATGTGTGAGCGCGCGTCGTGTCAGAGGCTGGTTTCCCTCCTTCCACCCTTTATGAGAGTTCTGGTTCTTGAATCAGGTCATCAGGCCTGTCTACAGCAAGCACCATTGCCAGCTGAACCATCCCTCCTACTCAGGTGACTTTCTTTTTAATGCAGTGGCTTCTTATTTGAAATCCTTAAGTATTTCCTGGCCAAGCATTCTCCTTTTTTCTTTTCTTTTCTCCCTCAAGGCAGTGTTCCTCTCTGTAGCTCTGGCTGGCCTCGAACTTAAGAGAGATCAGCCTGCCTGCCTGCACAGTGCCGGAATCAAAGGTGTGTGCCACCATGCCTGGCTTCCAGGCATTCTTGTGAGTGATATTTAACCAAACGTCCCACCTATCAAGTTAGGTAGTATCTCTGCTAAAAAACAAGTTAATCTTTCCCCCTCACTTCTTTTTTAAAAAGATTTTTTTTTAGTGTCTGGCATGGTGGCACATGCTTTTAATCCCAGCATAGGGGAGGCAGAGGTAGGAGGATCTCTTGAGTTTGAAGCCAGTCTGGTCTATGTAGCAAGTTCTAAGATAGTCAGGACGACATAGGTCTTGTCTCAAAAAAACCAACAAGAAAAAACATGTACTTGTGTGTGTCGCTTTGTGTGTGAATGCCCCTTGGAGGACAAAGAGAGGCCTGCATCCCCTGGAGCTGAAGTTCATACAGTTGGGAGCACTTGACAAGGGTGTTGGTGACTGAACTTGGATCCTGTGGAAAAGAAGAGCAAACACTCTTTTTGTTTGAGAAGGGACTAGAACTTGCTCTGTAGACCAGGCTGGCCTTGAACTCACAGAGATCCGCCTGCTTCTGCTTCCTGATGCTGATATCAAAGGTGTGCCTCAGACTCACCACATAGCAGATGAGCTTGAACTCTAGCTTCCCCTCTCTACCTTGTCGGTGCTAGAATTACAGGCCTATTCCACCACGCCTAACTTAGATTACCTTAACGTTTTTTTCTTGTTTTATTTTTGAGGCAGGGTCTCTCAGTGTAGTCCTTCCTGGCTACTCAACATATAGAGCAGGCTGGCCTCAAACTCATGAGATCCTCCTGCTTCTGCCTCTCAAGTGCTGGGATTACAGGTGTGCCTCACCACACTGGGCAAACCATAAGCTCTGAAATGATATTTATCATCTTTTCCATTGGAGTTGTTGCCATGTTTGAATCTGGAGGAGGGAGTCGATTATAAATGAATTGTCATCGTAAAGTAACCATCGTGTGCTTTTCCTTATGCTTTGATTGGTAATAAATGATGATGTAGTTTGCTACCTGGGTTCTTCTGTTTGGTGTATAAAAAAAGTATACATTCCCTTTGTTTTTCCCATCTTCATTATTTGGACAATGGCACCCACTTAATAAAATCAGCCCTGGTGAAGTACTGTTGACGACCATCTGTTCAGGGTTCTGAGATCCTGGTTTTCTGTTCTCTTCTGTCAGTTAATAACTTGAAATTCAAGTCGTCAAGTTCAGCTTTTACTAGAAATGAGAGCCAAGAGTTTCTGTTTGGTGTGTGCGTTTGTTGTTATTTTGAGACAGGGTCTGACTGTGCTGTCTTGGTTGGTCTAGAACTCTCTGTGTAGACCATGCTATTCTGGATCTCAGAGGACTAAAGGTGTACGACATCACACCCAGCTATTTGGAGTCTTGATTTGAAATCGGGGGGTAGAAGTTACAAGGGCAGTTAAATGTCAAGATGTACATTGCTCCACTGAAATAAAAACTGTGATTAAAATCACATTTGCCTCCCCAAAGGAAAGGCCTTTGAAACCTTAGATGATCTTCAGCTCTAGTTCCTTCTGCTTCACACAAGAACAGTTTTGAAATAGTCACCCCTTGCTCATCTGTTGGGTTTTAGCAGAATCATAAATGATTTGGGAATAACCCCACAGCTCCTATACTCACCCTACCTAGCTCGCTATTTTTTTTTGTTTTGGTTTGTAGACCAGGCTGGCCTTGAACTCAGAAATCTGCCTGCCTCTGCCTTCCAAGTGCTGGGATTAAAGTTGTGTATCACCGCACTCGGCAAGCTAGTTGTTGTTGTTGTTTTTCCTTTCTTCCTTTTCTTTTAATTTTCATTGGTGTTTTTCCTGCATGGTTGTCTGTGTGAGGATGTCAGGTCCCCTAGAACTGGAGCGACAGACAGTTTTGAGCCATCATGTAGGTACTGAGAATTGAACCTGGGTCCTCTGGAAGAGTAGTCAGTGCTCTTAACCACTGAACCATCTCTCCAGCCCCAGCTAGCTGTTTTTTGAGGCAAGGTTTGCTGTGTAGCTCTGGCTTGTCAGATAGAGTTATAGTCCCACACCTGCGGTTCTTCAGATTCTTGTTTGCTTTTTGCTTTGTTTTCTAATCGGCATGAGCTACCACATGTGTTTCATCAGGCCTACATTCGTCTGCTTTTAAAATTTTAACATATACATTTTTTAATTTTGAGAGTGAATGTGTGTACGCATGTATGTGCTCGTAAGTGGAAGCTAGAGAACAGCTTACAGGTATTGGTTTTTCTCCTTCGGTCATGTGGGTCCTCAGACTTCCTGTGTACTTGGTGACAAATGCTCTTACCACTGAGCCATCCTGCCGGCCTACTCTCCCCTACTACTTTTTAAACCACAACAAAGACCATCAGGTCTTACTGGACTGGCTCTGGATTCCAGGGACTTCAATCAATCCTTCTGCCTTAGGACTACTGTAGTTACTAGCTGATATACAGGTACATTTAATTCAACCACACTTGTCTTTTCAGAGTATCATTGTTTTTTGTTTTAAATATATTTATTTCTGCCATGGCTGTTTAAGCTTGGTGTCAGGTATAATTACAGTTTGTTTTATAGTTGTCTAGTATCTGAGATTAGTTGATATGTATACTTTAAAGTTAGCTTTGAGTGTCAAAATGGTATGTTTCACTTGTTGCTGTGTGTGGGACTCCTGGGTTGATGTTGATACTAACTCTTCTGATTAATACCTTTGCTGAAATATATGCTACCTAAAAACTATAAAATATTTTATTAGCTTGTTTTTTCTTTGATCATATAATGGAAACTATGGCCTGTGGTATGAACAGAGATAACAAGAATCAGAGCTGGATAA